TGTTCGACCAGCAGCAACAATGTGCTTGCATGTGTGCACAAAACGAGTAATTTATACATAGCAGACAGTGAAAACATGGTGGACCAAGAGTAACTAATAATTATACAGACATAAGCTAAAACTGAATATTAATCTATTCAACACATAAATGCCACCGAAGCATTCTTATAATATAACTCTTAATTACACAAAGAAAACAATTCACTTAGAACAGATTAATATGCCTGTCAATTGAGTTCTCATCAATCCTTTAATCTCAGTTGCAAAATATATCACTTCATAAAATACATTGACACAACCAAGTATAAATGGTGATTGCATGTCATTGATTAGGAACACTAATCGTAAATTTAGAAGAAGCAGTACAGTGTTAGTGCGTTGATGATCTGTGTTGTGTCTGCCTATCCCACGATATGTTCTAGCTTGGGCATATTTTATTAGCATGTGCCATGTTTACAAAATACTAATGGTACGCTTAATAACCATGTGATCTTGGGTATGTGTCACAACTGTTCTGACATTTGCATTAATCACTCATTTCAGTAGAAATTCCTTTTCCAATACAAGAAATGATTGTGTCTGTGGAAGTCCTATAGTAATTATAATTTGTTATTCCGCATTGCAGAGCTTCTTGCTATCAACAGTTATTTTCCTTAAAATTTCAGGAACATTAATGATACAAATATCAGTGACCTAAAATTTCCACTAGGGACTCTTCCTGTTGTATGCCATGTTATACTGGACGTAACCAGATTGACTTGGTATTTTTTTCAAACGTTTGCTTTTCAACATACAAATATTGCTGCCATGTGCAAATTTAACCACTATTACGTGAATATAGCATTCCCATATAGTTATATTTTGGTGTGCATTGCAATATTGACTATCATATTGGTTAATTGCACCACTTTTTTAGACGCTTTGCTCATTTAGTTTCTAGTTTATTTATACATATTAATAATAAAATAAATTCAATTGAATTTAATCAGTGAAAATGTGATTGTGGTTAAGGTAGAATAGTCGGTGATAAAGATGAACACAATAGATAGAGTGCTTTTATGATAGTGTATGGAGATGCATCATTGAAGATTGGGATGATAACGTATTTGAAGAAATTATTTGACCATATGCGATTCATGTTTTATCAAAGCATGTAAACATACAGAAAATCCGATGTAATATATGTATTGAGAATTATTACCTTTATCATGACGGGATGGTAATTGTGTCATCTTCAGATTAATGTGTGCATCTAATTATATAGTTTAATATATATATATATGGTAACAGATGTTGACGAAATGTAATCACTTTTGCACTGTCAATGTTGATGATGAATATCATATATGTTATATTTGATTTCAATCTTTAAAACAAACTGATGTACTGCAATTTCAGTACAACAAGACATCCCAATGTTTTCTCCCGTGATTACGCTGTTTACAAGAACATTACGCAAGAGGGTATTGTTTCATCTGCACTGTATACAAATGACGCATCCCGGCACAGTGGCTGGTGATATGCAGACACGGTGACTACAATCATGTCACTGCTTAGTTGTTATTGTTATAAATTGCCAGAACCACATTAGTAACACACGTACTGTGTAGAATTCCTTGGAGATTAAACAAACCACTTCCACAACACTGTGCGGCAGTAACATTGACGATTATCTACGTAGTAAATCGGACGCTTTGTGTAGTATGTTAATGCATATACTCAGAATAAAGCTTGGGAAATTAATTTCAAATTTATTTCAAATACTATAAAACGACTAATTTTCACTTGGTTAAAATTTCGCTGATTGAGCATTTCAGGGTATATTCAGTGAGTTTTTAAATTCACAGTTTTATCATTTAGATATTGTGTTCTATTCTCAATTTCACATATTAATAGGGTTTTAATTTAGCGCATTTTCCAGTCAGCGAAATAAGCAAAATTAAAACCCACTGAATAATTAACCATTTTTGCAGGACATCCTAAGAAAATACCTAATTAGTCCCCGTTCGGACGAAGTCCGAAAACGGGTACTTATAATTCGGTCTCCGTCCGTCCGTGTGTCCGTGCGTCCGTGTGTCCGTGCGTCCGTGCGTCTGTGCGTCCGTGCGTCCGTCCGGAGTCGTATCTCAGAATCCCTTGGACCGATTCCGTTCATTCTTTGCATGTGCCTAGTACTTTATGTGGGACATATGCACATGCAGTGGTTTAGCGATTTGATTCAAAATGGCCGACTGGCAGCCATCTTGTTTTTTGAAAATGTTGTATTTTGGACATGCTTTGTCAGTTTTCATTCAAACTTGGTACATAGATTATACATGTTAGGTATACATGTCCATGACGATTTATTTCACAATTGGATCAAAGATGGTCGACTGGCAGGCATCTTGTTTTTGTTTTTTATGCGGTATCTTGGACGTGCTCTGTCAGTTTTCATTCAAATTTGGCACATACATGTACTTTATACATGTTAGGATGCATGTCCATGACAATTTGTTTCAAAATCTGGTCAAGGATGGCCGATTGACAGCCATCTGACTTTTTGGCCTTACTACTATATTTCCACAATTTATGTACCATTTTCATTCGTATTTGGCACATCATACATATCAGTGTGTTTCATAATCAGATCAAAGATGGCCGAATAACGACTGTTTTTATTTTGGCCATATTACTATGACAAGAAACACGTGTTTTGATGTAAATAAACAATCTGTTGTATACGCCACTTAGAACTCAAGTTTCAAGGACACACTCGCGACAACCCCTCCACTTTAATATGATGAGCACAAAGAGAACTTAACGGGGACTGTGTCATTTTCAATGACTTGTTATTTATTGGCTCAATTTTTTTCTTTAGTGTAGTAAATTATACACCCTCATAAAATCATTCTCAATTTCATTGTGGTCTACAAGTAATATGATTTATTAATTACTATCAGTACCTTTGAGCTTCTCTGGGTGTAAGAAGTCAATGAATACATTGCGAAGGCTGATATCTTGATGGTGATGATCACAAGTAAATGTTCTTTATGGAGAGCTGATGGCTGTTATATATATTACTCAATCATGTATCTATGCGTGTGCGGCCAGTAGGACCGTTCTATCCCAGATGTCTAATATCTCCATGGAGCTACTTATGCGCATGTATGTTACACTTTAATCAACAATTCTGTATTCTGACCCAATATTCAATGAATAACCATAAACTTAATCACATTTAATTTCTTTCACACACCAGGTGATGAATGATGATGAATATTCAGTCAATGCAAATTTTTAAATATGTAAATACGTTTTCCATTTTCATTCAAATATACATTACACAATGACACAAGTACTAATAAAATACAATCTACAGCTGCTTCTATACTTACAGTAAATTATTTTGCAAATATTGTTTATACCAGTGTTTCTATTATTTTTATTTTAACGTATAATGTCCACCTTAACCTATGCCACCAATTATACGATTCTGTCATGGTCACTCTACAAAAAGGCATATATTTCCGTGCTGATAAGCAGATGATTTAGAACTGTATTTCGAGACAATTCTCAAAAATTACCGTACATTTAAAAGTTTCTTCACCTGAATATCCCAAATCCATGAGAATGAACTACAAATAGACTGATTACAGCAATTAAATAAGATTTGTTTTCGATCACTAACGCATAATTGAAAATGGAACTTTCATCGACTTCCCCAAAGTGATATGTGGCTAAATTTTCATTTTAATACCAAATGTTTTCAGCCACCTGTTTTAAAAATCTTTTCCAAAATGTAATTGTTTCGGAATGCTCGTCACATAAAGTAAACTAGTCATCTTCTCTAACTTTTTACATTTTTAACAGCCCAAAAAATATGCAAGATATTAAATTGAAGTATTTTTGTTACTTTGTCTGGAATGATCGAGTGCAGCATTAGATAGGCATTTTTGCAATATTTTAAAGTCTCTTACATTAATTTGTTTGCAATTTTCTTGTTAATATGTACATCAACAGTTGTATATAATAATTGATTGTACAGTGTGGTTCCTTTATTCACATGTAGTTTCCATGGTGCTGGCCACACCTCGACCTGGAAGTGGTTTGATTTATATTAGTCAATTACACTATTAACCGAATTCGCCCACGTCAGCCAATTCGAAGATAAAACACCTCTTGATTGCCAAATAGCAAATCTAACCACATGTCCATTAAAGTCCTGAACTAGCCATAATAAATCCCGAACTAGCCATATTCCGGCTTGCAATAAATTATTTCAAAAAACCGACATGAGGAACAATGTAATGTTCCAGAGTAGATTGCATGAAATAGGACCCTTTTCTGTTACTTGAAAATTATGGTTTCCCCCGGCAAGGTTTCTAAATTATAATTGCTGCATAATAGAAATTCAACCTCGTCATAATATTTCAAAAAAATACTTTCCTGCCTTGGGCTGAAATAGTTGTTAACCCATATAATTTTTGATGACGTAATCATATGAAATTGGTGTTCATAGACCGCCCATACTGTAATCGCATAATAGCGTTTTTCTATTTAGTTTAGCTATTCTTTTAGTAATGTTTTTGATATAATATTCAGGTGTTGGAATTAGTAAGAACACAAAAATGAACTTTGAAATAATAAATGTTTCAGCTAAATGAATTCGACCCATATTCGACCCAAGTCAATTTCCCTGTCTCCATATATTAAAACACATTTTCTGCTTTTTTTGTATTCTATGTTCAAAGTTACTTTTAGCATTTCATATCATAAGAAACAAATATATCTAATATTCGAATTCGAAAGTCGTTCCATTTTGCAAATGCACAATGAACCAGTCCACATAGCTTTCGTTTTCCCTTGTTGATTTTTAAACCGAATTCTTCTATGGTTACAAAAAATAATTTGGGGGAATCAATATCGGCTAAAAAACATTGGTGTCGTCCGCATAATGGGCTGATTTTAATTTTTCATTACAGATATTGATACCCTTAATATATTTATTTTCTCTGATCAAGACTGCCAAGCAGCTCTACTGCGGCAATAAAAAGTGATGAGGTGATAAAAGATCACATTGTCTGATTAGTAGTTAACTGTTTGGCCACGAACTTCCAATTCTTTTTTTTTTCAATGATGTAAAAAACACAGGATGAAATATATATCACTGAAATGATGCTTTTTTGCCAATTTTTATCAAAATAGCGACGATTTGGAATTGAAGGAAGTATTCACACTAGTTCCCTACTGCAAAAGCTAACGTTGGATATAAAGGATTAATACAAAGGAAGGTTAAAATATTCAACTGCACAAAACATGGACTGCATCATTTGTAACATTAATAAGAAAAAAAATGTAATAACAATGTTTCAAGGTATAGGCCATAACTTCTGTTTGTTCTTCCTTGCTTTTATTCCATATCGTGTTTCTTTCAATATACGCATGTAGTCAGGGATATACAATCTTGATTTGGTGCAGTGTGACTCATTGAGTCGAAACCCGTCACTCCAGCTTGATCTTTGAATCTCAAATATCAATGAACTGTTTATCAAAACTTGTTTACAAAACAATTTGTATTCAGTATTTATCTTCTGGAAATAGTTGACTTCATCACGTAACCCTTGCGAGTCCTTAAGACGCTGTTCAAATATTGTCAAGAAGTGTTTATACATGAAATAATCAGCCTGGCTGAAGTGATGATATAATTGTTCGGCATATGAATGTATTGACACAACCTTTGTTCTCACATTATTCGGTATATAAAGTATATCTTCAAGTTTCCAACAAAGCAAACGTCTTAAGAGAATCAGAGATTCGTCGTAATATTCTAAAATCATCACAAGGTCGAAGTCATTTGCTATCATGTTCACAAACTGTCTGATAGCATTCATATCATCGTATTGTTTGGGAGGTAATCCTAAATCAAAAGCTATGAAGTTCCTTAAGTATGCATTGGTGCTGATATTCTCTCCATTGTAAAAAAGTCCCGGATTCTCTAGAAACTTTTCTAAGTGGTGTGTTGTAGTATTGCCAATTTTTTTCTCAACCACCTTTGCCCATTTAAAAAAACTAAATGCCGATTTAAACTGACTCCAAGGCTCACGTAGAATTGTGACATATTTGGTACCGTTTGCCATGATATTATCAAGAGCATGTCTATTATATATGCAGTGTAGACACATGATGTTAAACTTGTCATCGTGTGTAGAATGTATGTAGTGTTTTTCCGTAAATGCACCAGCCCATCCCATAATAGGCCATTGACTTGTTGGCAGGACAAGAGACAGATTATTTAAATCAGCAAATCTCATGAATATCTGAGACGTGGTCTCACTCCCTGTTTTGTGTGTCTTCAGAAACACCACGTTGGTATGTCTTCGACATGTTTTAAGAAGAGGCAATCCGGCCACAACTATCGTTTGCTTACGTCCTAGTTGTTCTAGTGCACTGAAAAAATAATACAGAACAGATGAACTTGAGTGATACGTGCTGCCAAGGCACGGGTGTACTTTTGAGAAATAGTGAGAGGTATGTGTCATCGATAGATCCCTACAATGCAAACATTTAACGTTTGTTCCATTATAATGCACTTTTATAATGCACAGTTTATATATAGATGCCACATATTCAGCAACTTTACATAAGCTAGTAAACTGTCGACAGTTGGTCGTACCTAATATTAATCTGTTATAATTATTAATAAATGCCTGCGACCTTTCCAATGGCAAGATGGCAAGATTTAGATCGATCGTCTCTGCACAATAACAAATTCGATCTCCTCCGGTTTTCTATATTTTCTATTAGACAAACAAACGTTGTTTCTTTGCTATTTTGGTTGGAGTGACTGTATTCATTGTGTTCAACCAACGCATTCAGTTGGTTGGTATATTTGCATGCATTATGTTAATATAAATTATTTCAACTATAAATTATTCATATCAACTAGAAATCTGCAGACGGGGACAGTCTCCCGGAACAAAAGTCCCGCGCGTGGAATGGTTCGAATTTCCCATCAAACGCCTAGGGCGTTCGAACGCCTAGGAAACACAGTTACATTAGGCCCAAGGACTGTCGACAGTCTAATAAGCTAGATATATGCCCTGTTAATACAGTACAGTGAAATTGCTGACCCATCAACCTAATGTTGATATTGTTGGATAATTTTCTCTGAAATTGGCGGTGCAAACGTAAATATCATTGTTATACGTCAAAGCCGAAACATCATAAGCGCAATGACAAAAACACAAGTTGAAAGCAAAGGACGAATATTAGACAACTCACTCGAATAATTTTGACTTGTTTCTCTGCATCATCGTGTCCCATGTGGTAGGCGAGATTATAGTCACACTCTTGTTTAAAACCGGCATACGACCCTGTGCATACGATTTGAAGTGATTTCCTAGTAGTAGTTGAGGGTGATGCATTCGTGCAATGAATAATATTGCAGTTACTACAATAAGCAAGAGATAAAGCCCCGTTCTTTTGCTGAAAAAAGCTTGTATGTCTGCAAATATATTGGATCCCATTTCAGGTAAGGCAACTGAACATAAATGTCGACGCAGTATTCCGTGTGCGTTTCAACAGGAAAGACGACAAAACAGAAAATTGCAGCAGTTGGGATCATCCACAGTGTGTTGAACACGGACAATTAGTGTTTCCATCCTACCATCTGATTTGAGTGGCACACTGTGAATTCCTATCAGTGAAGATAAAGATAATAAAATCCAAATACCATAATCCTGCATATTAACTCGAGTCGGCGAGTGACATATTATATATTTGAAGGTTTAAATGATAAAGGTCTCCTTGACAACAGTAAATTACGAACATTGATTATTCACCATTCTACCATAAACACTCAATAAGTAATAAAGAGTTTAACAACACTTGTTTCATAAAGTATTGTATCCTTTTGACGCTGTAAGTTGAAAATAGATAAATATATATATCAAAGGAACAGTCAAGTCTAACAACATAATACTCTCAGATGAAAGAGCTCGGCAAATGCAAGAACATGCAACTTACAGCTTTTTCATATCATTCTCTATATATTTAACTTTTCATTAATTTTTGTACTCCAGCATCTTGATTCTTCAGCGAAGGATTTTAGGTAAAGTATGACATCATCTTTTGTCTATATGCCTTGACTTCCCCTTTAACCGCAGAATAATACATTTATCAATTAGCACAGCACAGTTGGTCGGCAGATACAGTTCCACGTAAATTACAAAGACTATGGGACAGACGGCTTATTCAGTGGCAATATGATACACTATAACATAACTCCTTGAAATTTATTTGATTAAATGCATGCGAAATACATTACAAATTAGCTACTGTGGCGGTGGCACATGGGAGGGGGAGAAGAGGGTTCGGTCGTCCCATCGAAAAAATGTTGGGGGCGTCGCCCTTCCAAAATCAAGCTGAAACCCTTTGTGACAGCTAAATTTGCCACTCAAAAAGGCAGGAAATAGCGTTTCAGAGGGTCTAGATTTCATTTTTAAGGGGGACATCCCCCGTGAGCAGATCTCGCCCCCTCATGCAACATTTCGTGCCACCGCCTCTGAGCTACCACAGTCTTGGTAGTTTGTAACAAAAACGTGCACAGACGTAGTGCAAACATACATTGCAATTTTGAAACATATTTAAGTGAGTTGTGTCAGAAGAATAATGATTGGTGTTTTTTACCGATTTTTTGACGGTGATAAATGTTCAGAATATTGTGTTCACATGCTCTACCATTATACCCCTTGACTATCTACATTATATGACATGGTAATGATATTGTAACTTCATATCTGCTACATAGTAAATGATGTATATGGTGAAAGCAAAGTCGTTCAAATCGACAACCGTGTTTGGTTGTGTAGTCATTTAACATCTAAAAGACAGTAAAAACTTACAATTCGTTAATAAACGACTACAGATTAAAACGGCCTTCGTGTCACTCGGGTATATCATAGAAGCGCCCCGTCGCTAGAGGGCGCGGTTTATAGGAAATGTGTATTGATGACTTCATATACAGAACATTAGTAAAGCTAACTTTGTGATTGTAAAATATTGAACGACTGATGATTTATCAATTGCATTTGAACACAACATATGTCGACAAGACGTGGCTCACACAATTTTAACTTACATTGCTGAACAAATCCTACATATTCCATACACTATTGCAATCAAAGAAAATCGCTTTATTCAAAAATATGTGTGTTACGGTATAACACTTAGTTCAAGAAAGCCTCCATAAATGATTAACCAATATCGCTTTGACTGTGACTATTTCGCTCATTCATTTGAACTAATATCAGCATATGTCGTTATGTGTTTTTTATTTTGTAATAAAACTGTACTTTGTACGAATGCAACATTGATATTGTTAATATAGAGGTAAATTTACCCAATCCTGTTATATACAATCGAGCGCGTGCATGAGGTGATTGTTTCAATATTGATTATTTTTAAAGCTAATGAAACAAAATGAGTGATGATACAACCTTAAAGATAGAATCAGGTAAAGTTTGCTCCCTGAAAATCTTCCTATAAGTTTTACCTAGATGACTTGTAACCATCTCTCCTCAATTCAGTAAGTCATGTGGAAACGACTGTCTGGTATTAGATATTTATGCAAAATCTGTTTTCTTTTTTAGAACATGGAGATTTTGATATTTCATCATTTTTTTCACTTTCAATCAGTTAATGATTTTCAAGAGGCCAACCCAGTGATGGTTGAACAATACGCAAAGAATGTTGCAGCAGAGAAAGTTTTAAAATATGGTAGGAATATATTAAAGGCCAGGTTTTCTTGCCCATAGATATTCTAATTTGACTGATTATGTAACTAAGCTAGCTGTCAGTCGTTCTTGTTTATGTGTTTATCCTGTAATTTGAACTGTGTATGCTAAAAAAACTGTAAAACATGTCTTTTAAGCTAGCTATTTTTTTAGCTTAATTTGCTTGTCTGTAATTTCGCTAATTCAAGATGTAGCTAATTAAAAAGAAAATATATTCTCACAATGAGACTGCACCAGTTGAGACTAAACAGAAATTTAGTATT